GAATTTATGATTGTATTATTATTTTTTATTATTATTTCGATATCCGAATATAATTTGGTTATTAAGATAGCTAAAAATGTATATATACTGAACCCATTAATCAATCATGATTTAATATTATTTATATAGGTATATCAGATATTATTAAGCAAATAAGCATCTAAACGTTAAAGGAATCTAAATCTCTACAAAAATATTACTGATTTCGATTTTCCTCAAAAACCATCAAGACTAAACACGATTGGGTCCATATCGTAGAATATCTTTACTATCACGATCATTAAAGTTTTTTTATGAGTTCTTGGAAAAGACAATTATAGCTAGAAGTATATTGCAAATTTATGACGACAGTCAGTACGTTTTCCTGTGTCAAATAGTCGAAGTATATATATTTCCTAATATGTTTACTTTAGGCAAGTATCCTGATCTATAGTATGTTTACTTTAGGTAATTACTCTGACTATATCAAAAATAATGTAAATATTTTCCATAACAGAAGCCACATAAATCTTATAAACTGACATAGCCTGACATCGAACCTAACAATATGAGCTATATAAAACACATATAATTCATAAAATATAGTTTGATGATGCATCACAAAATTAATATATAAACAATAAGAAAATATTAAACAAAGGCACTGATCTTAGTTTTAAAAGCAGGCATAAAATTACTAAGTAATGAGTTCGAGAACACAAAGAAGAAACAGTGTAAATAGAGATGCAGAATAGAGGAAGTCTACAAATAACATCAAACAGTCAATGCTCTTGTCCGTAGTTGGTTCCGCCTACGAAAGTGATAAAAAATCATTACCAAAACGTTTTAATAAACATTGAAACAATAATATATATAGACCCCAAAATTCTAAATACTCACGTCGCTCTAAATGCATCAACTTCTGCATCGATAGGATTATATATACCTTGGCCATTTGTCATCTTCCAGAACCTTAACATCCAGACAACCGATTCACATGTGTTTCTCAGATATACATCATGGAGATTTATTGCTAGAGAACCACGGGCGTAACATGCTAACCGACCTTCTCTTCTGCCACAAGAAAAGATAATACGAAAATTAAAATATTTGGTTATGACTTTATATGTTAACAGTCTTTTACATATAAATCAATGGACATGATTCATATTCATAATACCGTGCATCTACTATCTCAAATCGGAGATAAGCGAAATTCTCTTCATAAGCATCATTACTTGCATTGCAGAGTGGACCCATACTCACAATAGTTCCCATAATGTCTGATAATAAACAAAATAATAAATTGAATTTAAATCTATTACAAAATTTAACATATATGTTTAGAAATTATCATGCACACCGATAAACTTGATTAATTCTTATAAAAAGTTAAAGATGCAATTCTTACCAATCAGATAGTCAAAAGGAATGGCTCGATCCACAATATCATAAAATCAGAAGCAATGGAGATACAAATTGTACGACCTCGTTCGAATAGGGGTGATGATAGTGACAGAAGTTAACTGCAAACGATGTTTATTGATTGTTGTAAGCATTGATCCAGTAGCTTCTTTAACATGAAAGTTGAAAATCCGAATCCACTGTCCCTGTTTGATTTCTTTCCAGCGAGTGGGAAACTCGTTTGGCATAATGGTTGCAGAGATCCGTGTACCCTAGAAAAATAACAAAGCCAAAAATAATCACTGAATAATAAACAGAGAACATAAAAGAATAACTTCAAAAAAAGACACATACTTTGATATCAGACAAAACCATCTCGATAGTATTTCCAAAGAATGTTGAATGCATCCAGAGCCTGACAACCTTGACAGATATTAACCACCCTGTTTTGTAAGTATCCAAACATGCAACATCGACAACATCAGACATTTTAGAAACTTTTTTTTTCTTCTTTTTGATCGAGAACTCTGAATAAGTTTTATAAAGAGGAAAACTAAAAGTGACAGAATATGAGAAAGTGTGTTAAATATGAAAAGGACAGACTATGCAGTTGAATAGGCAGTTATTCTTTCTTATAAATTTATTTTCGTTTAAATTATTTTAAAATAAAAAATTTGAACAGTTACCATTTAAAGCCCCTTATTATTGTCAAAACCAACAACAATCCACCAATTTATGTCAAGACACTTCCATATTCATATTGACCGATTTGTTCGTTTCACGTGTCAGAGAGAATATATTCCATGTTTTAAGTTTCACCAAAGATACACGCAATCTCAATAAGTAAATATACTATTTTACTAAATATAAAATTTTGCTAAATTGCAACACTTTCCATAAAATAATATGATCTCTCTTTATGGCTTATGTTATTTGGACAATTTTATGTTTCAATATTTTAGGAAATGATATATTCATACAACATCATAACAAAAGTGCCATTTATGTAGACTTATATGTTATAACTTTATGTATCTACTTGAGCAATTTTCCTATATGAAACAGGAAACCTGGAAAGTCAAACGGTTAGGTGCAAACATAAAGTCGCATAATCTTCCCCATAAAAAATTGAAAAACGTGAAAATTGATTATTATTGCATACCTTATAAATACTAACTTGAGGGTTTCTTTTCAAAAAACTTTAAAATATTTTATAAGTAGCCTTATCATTTCTGAGAGAATTCATAAGAACATGGCGAACACAAACGAAAAAAAATTCGATGAAAATGGCTTGTTGATCATCAATCCCCCACCATTGGTAATGAGATTCGGTGTCGTGGAACCAAAGTCACCACCTTCACCAACAGGTTCCTAGATAGAGCAAGAAGAATTATGGGAACAATTACATTTATTCACCGCATCAAATCAGAAAGCCAAACAGAACACTCCTCAGGTAATACATCCTATTCACTAAAGTTTGTTTTAATCATGTCTTACACAATGAATTGTAAAATCTGTATATTCTAGTTATGGAGGATGACAAAGGCAACACATCTAATGAGACATCCCAATCAAGTTGCACAAAACGAAAACACGACCTGTTTATAGATCTTGAGATAGGGTTGAAGTGCATGCGTTGCGGTTTAGTGGAGACAGAAATTCGACACATGGATACCGCCGAATGGGTACGTAATCAAAAATATATTTAGATTAATAATGAAAAGTTGTCTAAAATCTATGTTATTGATTCATTATATTTTGTTATTGATTGCCTATTGAACTCTACGTTGTAGAAACAATTCATGTTTAAATATAATATTGAGTTAGTTTAAAGCTATATAATTTTACAAAAATCTAAATTGGATTGTTTGTGTCTGTGTTTAAAGGGAGAGGAGAAGGAACGTAAAAAGAGGAGGTCAGAAGTTTAATCAAGAACCATATCAGTTTCAAATCAATTTCATGTTTTTTTTTCCTGTTTGCAATGACCACTTTAAAGACAGTATGTACTTGGTTTTATTTTCTAAAAACTATTAAGTTTATTTCGATGACATGATAATTTGGTTTTGAAGCATTCTCGATATTTACAACTACGTGACAATGTTCATCATATGGAATGTCAATAGATGCCCAATAATATGCTACAATTCAAGTTTTGTTAAAATATGTTATCAAATTGAGTTTGTCATTGGAATATCCGACTACAGTTAAACGTCAGAGATCAAACCATTAATACATCAGATCCAACTTAGTGAAAAATCGAAAAACATCAAATCTATTAAAAACTATAAAACCGAACGTAATGGTCTTATATAATAAAAACAACTAACATATTTCAAGATACATAAAGACAACAAATCACAAAACAAAACACAGTAAAAAGAAATATCATATCTTGTCAAAAACCTCCTTGTAGACGACATTCAATGTTTTGTTTTGTGGTTTGTTGTCTTTATCGGTGATCAATATCTTCAAACCTTCTCTGGATGTAACCCTCGATACAGCGACATAGAGTTGCCCATGAGTAAAAACCGGTCTTGGAAGATACAAACCAACCTTTTCGAGTGTCTGTCCTTGGCTTTTGTTTATAGTCATTGCAAAAGCTAATGTGATAGGAAATTGCTTGCGTCTCATCCTGAAAGGAAGTTTCATCTCCGAAGGAGAGAGGAATATCCTAGGAATCAGTATTTTTTCACCAAACTTGCTACCTGTTATTATCTGAGCCTGGAGAACATAATTAGCCATCTATTAATGATGAGTCTTGTGCCATTACACAACCCATTCTTAGGGTCGATATTTCTTAGAAGCATTGCAGGAGTACCCTCTCTCAACTGCAGGACATGATTAGGGAAACCATACATCTTGATACTATTTAAAAACTCCTCGGTATAAATCATATTGTTGGAAACACCTTTATTCTTACTGGCTACACTCTCTGAGGGTACTTCAGATGCATCATTGTAATTGACAACTTCTTCAGTCGTATCAATGCTATCACAACTAAGATAGGTCCTTTCAACACCTGTTATATACAAAGCAATTGTTGTATTATATAAATATAAAAAAATAAGCTAAGAGGAATTAAAACAAAATAAACATACCCGATAACTTTGAAAGCATGTAATCATTTATCGTATCTACATCATCGTTTCTTGGACTCAGTATGGCACGGTCTTGGAAAAATTTAGGATCAGTCTCTTTCGAAAACGAACTCCCATAAATTTCTTTGACGATCATTTTTATAGGATCTTTACAGTCTTTAATCAACAGATCATCAGGAATATCAATCACGGCTTCACCACTTCCATCGTCATTTATCGTACCATCACCAATGTCTAAGATCCACTTTGTAAAGGCAGCTCATTCAAGCATCGCACGGCTATTATCTCCAGCTATAAGTCGCATGTTCTGTGTAAGTCTCAACACTCTACATTTGTACCACAGAGGTGACGAATTCAAAGTGGCCATAAGTATCTCTGTCTTCCCGGCATTTGGAATCACTGGCAATATTTGCCTAAAATCCCCTCCTAAAACAATGACCTTGTCACCAAAGGGCTTATCAACTTCTAATATATCACACATCGTTCTATCTAGAGTCTCGAAACAGTCTTTACTCATCATCAATGCCTCGCCCAAATAATGAGTTTAGCAATCCTTATCAGGTCGGCAAGATTCGACTCCTTCTTGATTGAACAGAAGGTAAACTTATTAACCACAATAGGGATTGCAAATCTTGAATGCGCAGTTCGACCTCCTTCTAATAACAACGCAGCAATCCCGCTCGATGCAACCTTAAGAACAACATCACCTTGGGAACGTAGAGCAGATCCTAATAGACTCAACAAATAAGTTTTACCAGTACCTCCAGAACCATAAACAAAGAACATACCTCCTTTGTTCTTATTTACTGCTTCTAGTATCTCATCATAAACACTTCTCTGTTCGCTGGTTACAGTGGCTAACATCTGCTCGTTTCTTACTAGTTTCGCGATTGTAATTCCTCTAATCCCGAATAAAAGGATTATCACGTGACTCCAGAGTAATATCTTGAGAAAACGGCATAGGTGTGAATTCTTTTAAGGATCTCCCACTTACACGTAAAAGAAGTTCTATTTCGACCAGAGTAAAGTCTTTAACTTGCTCCTGAGATAGACTAACAGCTACACAATTTCAAAAAAATTAGAAAAGATAAATTAGCTATCAATATCTTAAAGATATATAATAACAACAACGCAAACAATAACTATACGACTTACTTTGATCCCTGGCAGCCTTTCTGTAATTATATATGATGTCATCTGATAATACCTGCCATGTAGCATCCCAAACTCTAGAAGGAATGGATATACTTTGAGTAGTGAGCAGGATCACAAAAAGACGACGGAGATAATTGGCAGAAAGCCACAATCCGCCCTCATTGATGGCCTCAATATATTCTTTGTCATCATTCAATAATCCATACGCATAGCAAGCGTCTTTGAACAAAGAATGTAGCACTTTGTTGACCGTTTTTATATCGTCAAAACTACGAGGTCCTTTGACTAAATTAAGCAGAAGCCTTAAATAATACGCTTCACCTGCCCCAATGGGTACATACGTGATTCTACCAAGAGCAACTCTCCTTGATTGTGGCGTCCATATCCTGTTTGGGTTATTCCACACAAATCTCGTAGGAAGTTGCGCATAAGTTAACGTCCTCGCCAGTTCATACTTATCGTTGCACTCCATCCAAGCAATGAATTTTGACGTACCAACTGAGACACGATTAATAACCTCATCACCTGGATCATCCTCGTTGTATATGACCATTTGCTGGTTCGGTAAATGAAAGGGTAGTTTAACTACAGAACCGGTGCGATGGTGAGTGTGATTACCGAAAATTCTCCACGTGGATTCCGAAGGTGCTACATACCTATATAGAAAGACATTATTAAATAATGAAAAATTGGAATTTCAAAGATATAAAATATGTGAACAAAATGTTTAAAACATATCTACAGTTGAAGTGTTTCTTAATCTCGTTTTCTTTATCATCATTCTTGATAGTTGCACGAATGTAGTCAGCACCTTTATGAATATATTTGAATAGATACTTTACTGATCGAGATTGTACACACCATTCGACGTTGATATGAACCCTATAAAGCAGTGTGAGGCTCCTATTATAAGGAACCACAAATCCATTATCACATTCAATACCCTTTTTAACGATAACTTTCTTGTCATTACGTCGCATGTATATAGGATATCCAACATCATCTATTTTAGTGATCGGACTGTAAGGTTTTGGAAAATACTCACTATCCTTATTCAAAGCACCACATGGTCCATGCATCATGACATCTCCTACTATCTCATACAGCGCTGGATCAATATCTTTGTCAGGAATCTCAGCACATATTATCTTATCAATGTCATCACCAGTTGGTAGCTTGTGACCAGCCTCTAAAAAAAGAACGATGTGTGCATGAGGTAGTCCCCGTTTTTGAATAAATTGTTGTTTTTAAAAGATTAGTTAGCATGATCATCTAGCAATGTTATGGACATTATCTTGCTAAACGAAATAAGATACTTAGTTTAATAAAACATACCGGCTTTTACGACACCTAACACATTTTCTTTGGTGAGTCTGTGCATCAGATCATCTAGTTTCATCTTGAACACTCGCGTACATATATCTGGCTTATCCTCTTGCTTCAAGTTATGCCTTTTTAGGGGCCTGGTAATCTCAGGCCATTTGGGATTACACGTAAAGGTTATGAAAAGATCCGGAAAACCAAAATGCTGGCAAGTAGTCATCGCATCTAGATAATGCTGCACCATATACCTTGTACCACCAGTATAAGAAGAAGGTATAATAATACGTTTACCCTTGTCAGAAAGATCAGTGTCACCTTCATCAACAGTTTTCTTTATCTTGTCATAATTTTCGCAACGAAGTTTAGACTGATTCATTGATATGAAACGTAGTCTATTAGTCCCAATCATCGTGTACGCATCCACTAAGAACTGCTGGAACAATATTCAAGATAAAGGGATGATTGGTGACTCGCCAACCCTCTCTTGTATGCGGTAAGCAAAAAACTCTCTCATAGTAATATGCAACCTTTTCCTCCCTTGGGTATCTACAAAACCAATATCGATACCAAGTCTGAACCCGTCCTCCCCATAAGGAAACAATAATGGATATTGCAAAGGCAGATACGCAGGATGTAGTTCACTGATCCTTTTGAGATTCCCAGTCTTTTTACACTCGATGATGATATCACGTGCATCTACCTGACCATCGAAATCATTAGGTATCAATGCAGCAACTTCATTATTAGCTGGTAGATTCTCAGTCCTTCCATCACTTTTCCTGTCACACTTTAAAATTATCCTTAACCGGCTTGTATCACCGTTAGGATCAAACCTTTCTCGAACGTTTTGTAATGCATCCACATGTTTATTATGTTTATCTAGCATATTTTTATTTTCTCAACAACCTTCTCTCGCAATTTATCAGCCGGTCCCGTTTTCCGATAAAATTTTAAAAATAAATTCTTATAACAGTTAGAACCACATTACATTTAATAACAATACATATATGTTTTAAAATTGATCTCAATGATTAAATTAAATATAAACCAAAATAATAATAATCATACCCATAAGCAGCTATTCGGTTAGATGTTTCATTTGCGGTATCATATATATATAGCTGTAAAAAGGCTGGTTCTTTTCCAGGAGGTGATAGCAAATCCCCTATAGAATGGTAGTTCTCCCCACTCATCTGGAAAATGTAAGGACCTTTCCTGTCGTTGATTTCTTTATTTATTTTTCCTCCAAGAGAAGTGAAAGAAAACATCATATTATACGCCCGGATAAACTCAGGAAAGTGATCACGCAAATCACCATCATTATACATCAATGCTAATAACGAATTCGGAGGGGTTTTAAGAAGTGGAAGAACGACTTTACCCTGACCAAAACACATGGAGAATATAGGCTTCCCACGACGATGTCGTTTACCCAACTTTTCTCCATACCACATATAAGCCTTACAATTACCACATATATATATAGGATCACCATCGTCGTAATAACCTGATTGGAATAATATTCATTGCTTAGTATTAATTACACGATAGTTATATATTATGTATCAAATGAAATATATTAGTCCAATGAAAACCATAACCTCCACCTTTCAGACCAGGACTAACTGATTCTAATAAATCTGTTCTAGTAACAACGGTCTCGGTTGCATCCTCATCACAAAAATCAGAGGATTTAGCACGTTTTTTTGGGTCTTCCTTTCTTTTTATTACCAGGCCTCGATTTTTCCATATACTCACTTTCCGACATAGAGTCTTCATCATTATCCCTATCGGACTCAGAATCAGTAGCAATAAAGCAAGCAAACTCTTCGGTGTTGATAGAAGTAGCCAAAATATCTGTTTGTTTTTTTAACGGAAAAAAAAATAAGTGTAAATCAGGCATATAATTATTAATCTACATTGTAATTACGAAAAAAGAAGATCAAACCAATAGCTTCTTCTCTTTTTCTCCTCTCACGCATGATATGCATTCTTCTCTGCTGTGCATTACGAATTCCCTGGGGTGTTAGATCAGGAACTTCATTGATATTGTAACGAAACAAACCTCCAAGTTGGTCAATATCGGGTACACTGGTAGGAGCATATCGTGCGTTCTTAGCATTACCACCTACAAATTCCAGTTAATAGTAAGCAAATTTATAACACGTGAATGTTTTAAAAATGTAATTTACTTAAAATAACACCTTTATTTGGAGAAATCGACGAAGATGAACCTTTTTCTGAGGACGCCCAAGCTTACGTTTCATTTTTTCTGGTGAATAGCACGAACACAAAAAACAAATGTGTGATCTAAATACACTGTCATTAACAAACTATATATATATATATATAATATTATATTGCGCGATAATGCAAAATATACATTTAACTTCTCATAATAAATTAAGATTTTGGTAATAAAAAAAATTTCGAAATAGAAAACCTCACGATAATGTTAACATTACTTATTCTTCGCGATAATATGCCTATCTTCTCTAATGAACCATAATACTCCAATATCGAAAATTTAGATTTTTCGTGATAAAGTTAAAATACTATTGAAATACTTCTACATTACAACAACGCGGATCTATAAATAATTATTTATTACTCCAAATATGCAGAGTTAATCCTAAAAATATACCTCTACATTACAACAAATATATTATCCTAATGTTTTTACGAAAACCGAAAAGACTATCGTTAGATTTCTTAGAAATTGAATATTCTTCCAAAAATATGGTTATTTAACATATCATCTCAATAAATTATATCACATATTTTTTTTTTTCGTGGACAATTATACTACAATTCGTTACGCAGGCGTTTTGGGGATAACTATGAACATCGAAATCCATACATGAAAATAATAATTAAAAAATCTTATTTTCATACACTGCGTCAAAAGTCAAATTTTATTCAAATCACATACGATGTTTAACACAAACCACAAAACCTAAAAATAAAAATTGATATAAAATACTTCCAAAAATATTAGCACGGAACTCGTAACATTAGGGTCTAACGACTGGATATCAACTCTCGAAACTGATAGACCTCGAAGCATGGCAAATTTAGAATAAGTTGTGTGCAATCATACGACGTAGTTGCCAAGAAACACCCTGTATTATCGAAAAAACGAAAATCAAATCATATTTATCGCATATACTTCACAACTATCTCATATTAAAAAAAAAAATACCTCGTCGAACAATTATCTTCGCTAAACGAATGATGCAAATAATGACATCTTGTTTACATCCACCCAACTCACAAAGAAAAGTTTCAGCATAATCACCTTTCAAAAAACATGATAAACGTCGGTTCCTAAAGTTTCCCATCAAACAAATATCAGTCTGAATTAAACTTAAAAATTCATTTTTTAAATTCTATTAACATAAATAGGATTACCTTTCGTTTTCGAGATCGAATCTTATTATAGGCTGTCTAGAGTATCCTAAGGATCCAATTCTATCGTGAGAGTTTCCAACATTGACAACCTTACCGATTAAATCTGTTTTAAAAAAAAATGAATATCAAATAATCAATATAGTAATTGCATGACAAATCGGTAATGAAAAATATACAGAATACTCACCCACACAGTAGTTAAAATCAATAGTCTCATTCATAATATCTTCAAAAACAACGAACGAAAAATAACCATTAATATCTAAAGTATAAGAGCTTGCACATGTTGTATCACTGGTAAGGTGGATCATATAAGGATGTGTACTTGGCTTAAATTCACCAGTAAGAGGCAATAGATTAAAATTTATTAGAAGAACCCAATCTCCCTCGTTACATATCCTCGAATACTTATCATAAAATTCAATCGGTGCAGTTACATAAATCTTCTGTCCCTGAGAAGTATGGAAGCAAACATTCAGACATTTATCATTACAAAAACTAAAATATAATCATGAAATTGATGTGTTATACCTTCCAATCCCCCATTATAAATTCTAATGTGCGCTCACATTCAGGAAATCTTTTAAATTTACGTAAGACTTTCAACTTAGTCTTCCATATATTCTTGGTAGGATCAAGTTCGGAAATTCCAAACAGATTTTGATCATATTTTTTATATACAGAGGCGATAGATAGTAAATAAGCCATTTAGGTTAAACGCAAACCCAGAGCCTCAAAACAATTACAACGATTACGTCCAAAGGTAACTTAAATAAACATAGCAGAGACAATATTTAAACCAAACTTTTGTTTCTTATTTACACAATTTAAAATAAAAGGATATATCGAATATTTTACATTTTTGAGATACCTTAATGCTAATTTTACATTTTTAGGATAACATACGACTTTGATAGAAAATTTCTCATGATCACAGGGATACCGTTTCCGATTTGTATTAGGGATCTATTATAATATATTATTATAATTATAACAATTTTCCAATTTGTATTAGGAATATATTGGAGGTGAGCCATTTGCATCGTTATATATAAAAACAATGTATTAGCATTACGACTACTTTTTAGGTTTTATAGGCACTACATCATGTCGATCGCTGTTTGTCTTTTAGCAATGAAAAACATGACTTACACCAATGTCTCCGATATAACTCCATCAAATCAACTACGCCGTATTCATGTGAAAATACTGCGTATTTTCGAGCACATTGGTGAACCTGATAACACTTTAGATTTGGTGTTGGTTGATAAAAAGGTATTCCGGTGACTCTATATTTTCCGTGCATATCACTTCTCTGATATACATATTTTTGTTTTTATAGGGTGATAAAATACATGAATCAATATCAAAAGGGTTTATAGACAGTTTTACATCAGAAGTGAAGCAAGGAGATTCAATTATTTTGTACCGTTTTTGTGTAATCCCTGTCATCGGAGACTTGAGGCCGACGTTGCACAATTATAAAATAATATGGAATTCTCAAACTTATTTTTCAAAGATCCCTTTCTATGATAACAACAACTACCTAAGTATTGTTGAATTTGGTAAAATACACAACAATATCCGAGACCCATTGTTTTTCGTTGGTATGACTTTAGATAAAATTAATAAATAATAACAAAAAATATATGCTATTTTATATCTATAAACTTTCTCAATGACTAACTAATCTTTTTATTAGATATAATTGGACACGTCGCAGTGATTGGAACATTTAGTCACAAATCCTCCAAGAGCCAAAGAAAGTGGGGTATTGTTTACGTGGAACTCCGTAACGAATCGTAAGTTTTTAAATTATGTTTCTCAATTGCAATCACTGTAATTATCAATTTTTACTACATTATATGATTATTATATGCCCAACAGAGATGCTAGATTGCAAGTGTTATTACGGAACGACTATGCACTGGACCTGATGACTGCTTTATCACGGAAAGAACACAAAATTAACATTTGTGTTATACATTTCGTGCAACT